GTATAAAGTTCATGTAATTTGGTCACTCACTTTGATTTATATCACAATATTTTTTATTTCCGAAAATCGCTTCTTTCTACTCCAAATATCAGGCCCTAGCCATGTAAGATCTCCCAAATTTAGCAAGTATTTCATTGTTATTGTAATTCTCTAAATCATATTTGATTTAACTCGACTTAAACACATTTACTATTACATTATTAACCTAGTCATTGCAATTTTATGTTTAATAATAATAACTTTTATCATATTATTTCAAGTTAAAAAGTGTAAGCGTTAAAAAATATCAGTCCCTAGCTATTTGCGAAATTCGAAAATACGCGGCATCTAAGCTTATGGTGTTTTTCAAAACTTACTCAAGCGAAAGCATCGATGTGAAGTTAAATGTAAACACGACCAATGCCGCATCAGCTATTTAGTTTTTACCGCAGTCGCCGACTTTGTTATGGAAACACGTACTGTGCCAGTCAAACTCTCAGTCCCTAGGTAAGTCGTTTCAAAGATAGTTAATTAATAATTGATCTCATTACTTATTGTAAATTTGAGCTTTGTCTGCCTTGTTATTTTGATCACCTGCTGGTTGTTATTTTTATTTTAAAAAATAGGTTATTTTTTATTTTGCTTTGATTCGTCAGTCCCTAGACCGTCAGGCCCTCGTCGTAAAAGTGACTAGGGCCTGATGGCACACCTAGGGACTGACGGCCATACTGCGTGATCCATGGTTTTAATAATAAAATATATGTATTTGTTGTAGAATATGGCACCTAAAAAGAAAACATTACTTTCCAAAGGAGAACTCGCCAAAAAAAAGTGTGAACAGGCAAAGAAACGTTTGGAAAAAATTAAAAGGACCCTATTTTGCTAGCAGAGTACAAAGAAAAAGAACGACATAAATATCCAAGGAAAAAGAAAAAGGACAAAGGAAATTTGTCAAGGACATGACACCGCGTGAGCATAGAAGAACCACGAAACAGAAGACTGAAACGTAAAATGACGAAAAATAAGAAAGCACTTACACCAAAAAGCCATGGCTAACGAGCCTAATCAAAAAGCTGAATTGATAAATGGCACATAATTTCAAATAAATGAGAATGATATCGCTGACGTGCCTTACGAAGAATGTTTTAGAATAACTGCCAGTTTCTAACCTAATAAGGTGGAACCGTGTTTCACAGATTTAAGAAACATGTTGTCGCTTACGAAAAGTAGAACAAATAAATAGTGATGTGATAGTATTTGTGATTAATTAGAGAAAGAGTGATTATTACGTTCAAATTATAATTTTGTTACTTAGAAAGCTAATTTTTAAAGTATTGTTAATTATTTAAAGATTTTTAATTTGTAAGTACTAAACTCAAAGTACAGTTAATAAAAGAAAGGCTATGATTGTAACTTTTCAGTTTACTCAGATTTTATAAATTTTGTTTACTGAAGAGATAAGTAGGTAATAATAAGTTTCACTGATATAAAAAATAGCTTGTCAAGGTAACATAAAATTGATTGTCTACTTCAGTACATTGAATATTTTTGAGTATGATACTAAATTTAAGATTGTAGGAAAACAATTCTACTTGTTATATAAAATATCTTATATTTTGACTGTTTGTTACAATAATTAATAATAATATGTAAGTTATTTTATTTTGTTAAAGTTAATCTATACTTATTATAAAAATAAGTCCCCCGGCCGCGTCTTTCTGTCCTCCTGTCTGTCCTCCTGTCTGTCTGTACGCGATAAACTCGAAAACTACTGAACGGATTTTTATACGGTTTTCAACAATAGAAAGAGTAATTCTTGAGGAAGGTTTAGGTATATAATTTATTATGCTTTTATGTAAATTAGCTGAAATACGGCGACAAATGTTGAAGAGGTCGCAAAAAATCTCGCCAAATGGGAACTTTCCACGCGAACGCCGCGTAAACTAGCAAAGATACAGTTAAGTAATGTACTAGAGAATTCAAAATCTATAAAAATGCTACAAAAAAGTCCGCGATAGCATATCTCTATCTCTTACGGTTGACTTACAATAACCACTTTTATGTTAACATTTTTAATTAAAAACATTACGTTATTTTCAAAGTTATTTTCTTTAGTTCGGTATTAATCCTTATCCAAATGAATATTTTAGTTAGCTTAGTCATTTAATGCAGATTAAAATTGCTCTTTACACTAAATCAATCAGATGAATAGTTTTTGAGATATCGTTGTTAGAAGTAATTAGTAGCGAAACATTTTTAATGCTTGGCGAGCATTGAGATGCCTACGGCGAGTCCATCCCCTCTGCCCCGCATCGCTCGACCGCCTGCTCAAGCTATATAAACCGGGCGATGTAGCGCGCGATCCTAGGATACTTTTTACCGCGGGAAAATATCTTATTTCTGAGGAAAAATACAAAAACTGCAATGTAAGAGTATACTAATATGTAACACCTAAGAATTTAGTTTTTGGTCATCTGAACGCGGGCGGAGCCGCGGGCAATGCTAGTTTTGCTATAAAAATGTGATTAAGCACATTGACCGTCTTTGGCGTCAGTCCCTATCATGTCTCGTCAGTCCCTAGATAACTGATTTCAAAAAAACTTGAATTTCTCTTAAAATACATTGTAAAGTGACTGGCCCTTTTAGATGCAACAAAGTAAATATTATATCCACAGTATAGAATCAGAAATTTACTGATAACCATCTAAAAAGACCTTTGTCAAAGTTAGGCCATAAGTTAACCAAATTTTGAAGAACCACCCATATATATATATATATATATATATATTATATATATATATATATATATACATATATATATATATTACATAGTATATATATATATATATATATATATATGAAATTGCACTTGCTATGAAAGAAACCAATGACAACTTAACCTAATTCCATCGCCTTTTATATTTTTGGCCCATCAACACTGAAGTCAACGACTACTCACTTTGCTTATATGAAACCGTAATTCTTTTGGAGAACACGAATGTTTATATCATACTTTCTTAGATTTACGCGAATATGTGACATTTTAAATAAAATTTTCCGACTTTTCGATTGCTTTACATCCATCATGATCACGGAAGATACTGCTTTCAACCATGACCATGATTGCTGTAAAATATTCGAAACATCGTGAACCAAAAATCAAAATAAATCCGCCAAGAATATTTTATTATAAATACGAATGTTTACGTTTATATCTTGCTGGCGTTTTGATAATCTTATATATAAAATTTCCATGTCACAATGTTTGTTACCGTACTCCTCCGAAACGGCTTTACCGATTTTTACCAAATTTTATTTGCGTATTCAGTAGGTCTGAGAATCGGCTACTATCTATTTTCCATACCCCTAAGTGATAAGGGTGGCCCACATTAGGGACGATCCCGAGCGGAGCGAGGGTGAGTCGCTAGTATTTTATAATAATAATTATCAATATTTTATTATACAAACAATAACTAGCAATCCTTAAATTAATATAAAAATAGATTGTCGGGATATTGTTAACCAGTTTGATTGCTGGAGAATCAATTCAAATTGATCCAAATTATTTATTGTAAAACATTAATTAGAACCTCAGTGAAATATTCTAATGGCCGATTTCACCAACGTCACCTAAGTTTAAGGGATCCCCTAAGCATGGTTAGGGGGCTCTTAGGGGATAGTTCCTGTTTGACCGACATTTAGGGGTCATCTAAATGTTAAAATGCCACCTAAATATAGGTACTAGAAATACGGGCTCTGACGATGGTAAAACGAAATTTAATTTAGGGGCTAGTTTAGGGGAACTTTTAAGCTAGAGATCCCATACGTAGGTGGTAACTGGTAGCTTATGGGACGTTGGTGAAATCGGGCATAAGTGTCCTAATTATGGGACTGAGGTTTAATTATTATTCGGATAGTTTATATCCATCAACTGATATAAAAATAACAATACAAACAAAGAAATGAACTTTTACAATCAATACTGTTTATAATATTTTACATTTTAATTTATTTTATTCTATGTTTATAAAGTACCTATATAAAGCGATTTCAATATCAAGCTTTAAAGTTACTAATAGATTATTTAAACTAAGTCTATAACTTAAAGTATCTTATACCTCAGTATGATACGATAAGATATTTTTTATCTTTTCTGGCCATTTGTATATAGTTTCATAAATGTATTCAAAAAGGTTCTCATAATTCAACGTTTACGTTCTCTAAAACCTGCGCTGCTTTCTAAATGTCTGCTACTGACCTTGCACATAAAAATATTTTATTAAACAAAACGTATCAAAGATACTTGTACAATTTACATTACAATTTACACATACGATAGGATAATTTGATTTATGTTACTTACCATTTGTAAAGAAGTTTGCAACTGATTTACAACGTCGTTTTCCATCCCTATAAAAAATCTTAATTCTAATCGATCGAAATCGAAGTTAATAATTTATACAATATTCAGTGGCAGCTACATTAAATGTTCTTCAATAATAGTCTTCTTCGTTAAATCAGAAAATCTGATCCTGACTTTTCAAGTCATTTGAGTTGATTTCAATTTACACGAGACAGTAATAATCTGAACTGTCCCCGTAATAACTTGTGGGACAATTTACTTTTTCTTTTCCTTCATCCAGACTGTTTTTATGATTGCATTCATCTGATTGTTAATTCTGAGTCTTATTTTAAATGATTTTCTGCTACCCTAATAGTAATATTAAATTTATTCCATTATTTTTATAATTCTAATTTATATATTTTTTTGTTATGATATTAGCACGATAATGTTATGCATACATTACCGTGATATTAGTCTATATATGTATATTTTTATAAGACAATATAAACATTCACCATGTATGTGTACATAAATCAAACTTGCGACATCTAGCGCGGTACGAATAAGAGTGCATTTTCTCCTCTATCACTGTACTTATTACCTATACAACGATGGCAGTATATATATTATAACAAAAAATAGTGTTTACAAAATGATATTTAAATATTTTTTGCAGTGTTCTCAAAAGGACAATGCGAGACAGGACAATACCGTTTCCTCGCCAAGAGTGGCGGCTACGCCTGGGTGCAAACCCAAGCCACAGTCATCACAGACAAGCAACAAAAACCAATAAGCGTCATCTGCGTAAATTACGTCATCAGGTAAGTCTAGATATAAGCCGGAAAATTTTCTATGTAAATTTGTGCTTTGGCAGCCGTATTTGGATTTTCAGGGTGTAATAACATATGATTACAATTTTATTGCAGACGGTAAGTAGCTTTTTCTATTTGTATATTTTCTTACAAACATTGTCTACCGTTTGGTTATTATTATTTAGTCGACTACTTTATTCATGAAAACACATAGTGCTAGTGCTTATTGTAATTACTATTTCGCGAGTTATCTTGATAGGAATTTCTGATAACATTCTTTTAATCAAGTTTATTATGTAACGATCACGTGGTGCAATGCAAAGTATGTATGTGGAAGTACCTTAATTAAGGAGGATAATTGATATTCTTGATTTAATACTGTTTTGAAAAGAAAACTTACTTTCAGTCTAACTAAAAATATTGTAATTTTCAGGCAATTAGGTACTTTTGAAAATAAGTTTGTTTAAACTAATAGGTATATTTAATGAGTTTCTTGTTACATTTTTAATATTCTTCCAATATTGATATATGAGTCTCACAATTTGTAATCTTATAAGAAATCTTGAGCTCTGTAGCAACAAGCAATAAAGTAAGGTAGTGTAATCCTTTGATCGTGCACCGCAGCGTCTTATGTAACAATTTACCCTGGGGCTGGTCATTGGAGTGATTCGAGACCGCCGCTAAGCCTTTTTTCTCATTTTTATTGCTTTAATTTTTGACCATGACTTTTGACAGAAAGAACGAATTGCTTTAGGAAGTAAATTTTAGTTCTTGTTTTTATTCTTAAATATATTACCTATTTATAATCCTATAATTACTCTTTTTTATGCTTTCTGAGATCTATCTTTGTTGTCCTATTAGAAACTTGTTGCATTGAAATCTCTTGTAGCTTACATAATTTAACCTGCACTTTTTACAAATAAAGTTTCATTGACTTCAAAGTCACTGTTCAAGTTCTAACTTATTGAGAAGATATGGAGAAGAATATACACACAAAAATCCTTTTTGAAATCGGTAGAAAAATACTGTTGCGTCAGAGTAAAGGAACCAAGATTTTTTTATTAGTTTATAACTAATAATTAGTTAGGCTTAGATACCCAAAGCATAAACAGGTGTACATATTATTAATTAATGACTTATAATTATTCTCCCAAAATCTATACTTTTAATTGAAGGATTGCTTTTTAAATTTTAAACTATTTAAAAAATCTAAATCACATATTATTCCACACTATTTTTTATATTTATCATTTGATATTTAATTTTAGAAAAAAACGTTGACAGTTCATTTGAATGAAGCTGTTGTTCACTTATTTTTAGCCAGGAAGCATTCAGCTTTCATACATCTACTATTATACTTTCGAAAGTCCCAAGTGTATAAATACTTAATTCACTGTATCGTATAAAGATCTCCAAATAGTAAACTTATTTTCTCATATCGTCGAGTCACGAAAATCTTTATCAGTTAACCTGAAAGTGCTCCGAAAGCCATATTAGGTTTATAGCCTATACTTACCATATTGCCTGCGGACTTGTTTTTCGAGGCCGCCAATAAAATTATATGAGATTTGACACCTGAACATAACCCAAATTTCAGTCTGTACTTAATATCCAAGATGCTTCATTGTAACTTCGTATACAATTACTTAAGGCTGATGTATGTTAAGAATCTTCTTAATCTTCTACGAAGCTTATTGTGGAAATAAAAAATATTTATGAAAATTTAATTGGATCTTTTGATAGATTATAATCAAAGTATGTAAAATTATCTAATATTAAAAATATTCTATAATATTAACAATATCTAATATTTCCTAAATGATATATGAAATAATAATGAAGTATATAATAGTGAATATAAAAAGCAAATGATGAACAGAAAAGGTGAACTTGATTTACCTAAGAATTCAAACTTGCCTATTAAACGACTGAATTTCTTATACATATACTATAGATGCACAATGGGAGAGTTTTTACAGGAGTACAAATAAATCTATACTAATATTATAAAGAGGCAGAGTTTGTTTGTTTGAACGCACTAATCTAAGGAACTACTAATCTGATTTGAAAAATTCTTATTTACATTAAATAGCCTGTTCATTGAGGAAGGCTATATATCATATAATATATAGTCTATCTATTCCATATTAACCGTTAAAATGTACCTAGGGACGAACCCGGGCAAAGCGAGGGTGAGTCGCTAGTAATTCATAATTGTAATTAGAAAACAGTCAAGGCCAATATTCGCCACCTACATAAATCTACATAGAGCTACTCGATTGAAATCCAAGGCCCAAGCCGCGTTACCATACACTAGGTACTTCATACTTGATATAATATTGCCCTAATCCCTGGCATGCGCTAATCTTTTTCAGAATGCCGAATTTGATACGAATTGGGTATGTTCTAGGGTCGCTCAAGAATCGGAAATCATCTCACAGTTTTCGTCTGTGCGTCTGTCGTTCCGTAGTAGCGCAGTCCGCAATCGTTAATAAACCCATGAACCCCGTATATACATAGATAAATAAAGGGGCTAATCCAGTGGTTACGAATAAATTGATAATTTTTATGCTTTGTGAACGTTTTTCTAAAATTATATCAAACTTCATCTTTTAGACCTATGGTAACATAAATACACTTGTAGTCATACCTTATTAGTAGCTTACAACATTACGTAATAAACAGTAAAAATAAACATTTTCATTGTTACTTGTTCATCATAAATCTCTTTTATTGCTTCCTATTCCTCTCATATAATTTGGCGATACCGTATTAACGAAGTTCAAGGTTGTTTATATCGAACGATACTCGCGTCTGCTTTTGTTTTTTTCGGCTGGCTTTAGATAACATCACTTTTGTTACTTCTTGTCTAATTTTTAATAAAAACGATAAGATTGAAGAAATATTTCGTCGTCGTGGAAAAATCTGAATTATACGTTTGTAGACTTAAAAATATCTATATTCTATTGGATAAGTACAATTATTAATTTATATTTATTGCAGATTTTGCACCTGCATTGATAGAAATAGGATAGAGAAGTACGAAGTAAAAGTGGTTATAAAACTGCTTTAATAAAGTATTCACTCAGAATGCAACTAGTTTTAACGAAGCAATTCTTATGGTATGTACGTATTAAAAAATTAAAAAAAAATGCACTAAAACTTAGGTATATATAGGCGTATATGTATGTATATAACCAAGATGATACCCTATTATCAATATTTTCAACTCGCAATTGCTCCAATTTGTGTGGGTGCTATAAGTAGGGTTTACCCTTGTGACATATTAGAAGGAAAATATTTACAGTTGAAACTTATAACATGAAATATATATATGGTTTTTGATGTTCATTTCTAGAACAACAAAGATTCCTGTTCTCTAAAATGTTATGGAAAGTAAAGAAGATCAATAACATTAATTCTAATTTTATTATAACACATATTTACTTATATAAATTCATTGATAAGCGTCGTTTGATCTTAATATATAATTATTTATTATTAATAGGTAAACATAATTTCCTGTTTACTACAATATGAAGTACTTTATTATATTCGATTTAACTCCCCATTAAAACGTCTTTAAAATTCACAAATTTGGACAGGTCGTACAATTTTTTAGTATTTAAATATTAAATGTTTCATAATTTAATCTTATGATATTTAATTACAATTGTAAAACCGTTGAGTAATTTCATTGATGGTAATCGTACAATAACAGAAAGTTTATCTTATCTCTTTGACTCTAGATAAAAGCTAATGCACATTGACACCACATGCATCTAAAGCCATGGGTTATCTCTATGGTTGCTAGGTATTAGTTACAAATAATTATTTATTATTGATTTTCATAAAAATAAATTAATTATATTTCTATATTACTAAATAAAACTAAAAATAGTTTCTAAATATATTTATCAATATGTATGCTAATTTAAATTTACTTGACTACCAAAAGTAAAGATTTTTAAATGATTCTGCATTAGCCTTTTCCCGCGACTCCGCACATGTAGTTCGATTATATATTTACTACTCGATGAAATAGACGTTTTTCAAGATAAGCTCAGGTCACATGTGCAATGTAGTGCAACTTATTTTTAAGTTAGTAAAAAATAATAATAAATACCATTGTAGGTTTTATTATTATAAGTAGTAGTAGTATTATTTATTATAAGTTTCTTTCATACACCAAGTCATACCTAATCGAAGAAATATAATTTATTCCCATTTTTAAATAATGTACATTGTACAACTGCGAAGAACTGATTTATTTACTTTTCATTTTAAAAACTACTCTACACTAGCTTTCTCTCTGAATCTCAAGTCTCCTTTTTATCTATCTGATACCTATATAAATCTATGGTTTTATTTTTGTCAAATAATAATAGATGACTGTTAGAATATTAAATGATTTCAAGGTTTATTAATGATGACGATGATTAATGATGATAATACGTAGTGGGTAACGCATGTGGGTCACCATGTGAAATGTGAATTGTTTCGTTTTGATATATATCATAAAGCACCCCCCGGAATGATTTAAATGATTTTTTGGTAGAATTTTTTTATATTCCTATACATTTCAAAGCTAGTTAAATTTCTAAATGTAGGTAATATAGAATATAGGTAATATGTTGATCTAAAAATGTTTATTTTGTTAAAAGTAAGTTTTTACTTCAGAATGCAATTTCTTAATGTCAGACTGGAATTACAAACTCATACGGCCAAGATTATTTAACCTAATACTGTTTAAAATAGTCAGATTTGTTGCCAAGTTATCTAATTCTACCTTCATATTTAATACACAGTTTGTATTTTATAACTAGCGACTTACCCTTGCTTTGCTCGGGTGTGTCCCTAGGTACGCGGATTTGGTTTACAATTTCATAGATTTTATTTTTTTGCGGGGAACCCTAATTCTTTTTCTAAAATAAAAGTAGCCTAAGTTACTCCTTCAAACATCAGCTATCTACCAGTGAATTTCCCAAATCGGTCCAGCCGTTTCTGAG